AAATTAAAAAGAAAAAAAATAAAAACCCAGTAACATGTTGAATGAATCAGATGGATCAATTGTACAACCGTCTAGGTAGGTGGATCATTGATTGGATCAACGGTTTTTTTTTTATAATATGGCAGGTTAGAGGATGATCCAAGCTAGGTTTTTGACCAAGTCACCAGTCCAACTACCCTCAAATAACAATGGTAAAATAAAACATAATCAAATGATTGTAAGAATTCCTTTAGATAATGAAAAAAAAAAAAACGTACTAGATCTGTAAGAGAGTCACAAATCAGATGATCAAAAACAATTTAAGGATGACAGTTTTTGGCACAAGGAATTTCTTACCTCGGATCCACCGAATGGATGATCCTGATCCTATTTTATATGCATTAACCTACATTTGGTTCTTGAGCTAAAAAATTTCTGTTCTAGCTCATTTTGCAATTACTTGAGGTGTGATGCATTAAAGTATTATTGTTGCCATTTTTCTTAGTAATATAATTAGCCCTCCCACATAGAAGCATGGAAGGCCTCATTATCTATTTTTGTGGAGAAATTGTTCACCTAATCAAAGTCATCCAGTAATGAAAAAGTGGACTAACCAATTGTGAAGAAATAGGAGATGGAAAAACATTATTTACAAAGCTATTAAATATGCAATTTATTTTGAGCGCAAGGTTATAAAACAAAATGCAGCGAGTGAACCGGTTACAAATACCATGAACGGAATGGTAGCATAACTTGAAGTTAATTACAATATTAATAAGTATGATTGTAAGGTATTTAATCCACTATTTATGCAGAGGACAAAACTGTTTAATTTAAGATCACGACCAAGCAAGATACTACCGATTGTTATGAGCAAAACTGACTTATAGAGATCAGGATGCATATAATTGTCTATCTCTACTTATTTTATCAAGCATTAATTGAGCCCTTCATGTGCAGGGCCTTGTAATCTTTTCATTTATTTATTTATTATTTTTTTTGAAAATTTGTGATTTAAATGATAGGTTCATTTGAAATACGTAAAAAAATTGTAAGAGATGAAAGGTGAGAAAAATATTCAATTTATTAACTTTTAATATACTATTGACTTTGAGAGTGAAAATGAATTTATCTTAAGAATTAATTAGTTGGGAGATGTGCAATGCAGGGACTTTGTTAAATGAAATTAAGGCAGAAGCCAAAAGGAGTATTAAGACATTCCTAATTGGACCAAGTGAGAATGAGTCCACCCTAAGCATTATTTTTGGGTTTACGTATTGTCTGATAAATTGGTATTAATTATTATTATTTTTAAATTAAATTTAAATGGATTTTAATTTTTATTAATAATTTTGTTTTTGTTAAATATTTATTAAAATGTGTGATTTTTGTTTTAAGTAGAGATAAAGTAGAAGGAAAGACATTTGAATTTGGGGAGAGTCAATCCAAATTGAACCCAAGTATTATATTTTGGGTTGTGTATTTTAGATAAATTTACATTTTTACATGGATTTTAAATGAAATATTATTTTTTAAAATGATAAAATTTTATTACTTTTTAGTGGATGCTAAAAATGGAATTTAAAAATAATAGCTTTCTATTATTTTTTTTAATATTCTATATTATTTTAGACAAAACTTAAGTGGATTTTTAATTAACTAATTATTATCACTTGTTAACTTCATTGATAACTTAATTTTTATTAGTTATTGCTAAAGAAATTTGCATTTTTATTGTTTTTAGTTGAAATTTAAGTTAAAGATTCATTTTTATTTTAAAATTGGATCTAAATTAATAAAAATTAATTTAAAATTAATAAAGTTGATTTTAAGTTATTATTTTACTAAATTAATTAAGCTATTATGACCAAATGACATAGAACTTATTCATAGAAAACTGAATAAATAGAAAGGGGAGAGGAGCCCACATAGAAACATCCTTTAAAATCAAGGTTGGCATTTAAAAAAAAAAAAAAGATCTAAAAAGGATGAGGGAGAGGGGATGCTGAGAAGAACAACAACTATGTTTTAGGTATATAAAACATATAATTATTATACTAGTAAATTAGCATCTAATGTACCCTTTACTTAAAAGGCAAAATTGATGAGGAAACCTAATAATGACTCTACTATTTTGGGTACTCAGAATTGTTCTCCAAATATCTGGGTTGAACTACTTTCGTGTAAGGCAATTATATATAGTTTGTTTTAAACTTATTTTGTTGAACTTGCTGCGTCTTACACTTTTATTATCGTTGTGTCACGTTAATCATTTTTATTAAAGAAATGGCATTATAAAAATTGCACCTGAATCTTAACTTTGTTATAGTGTGCTAAAATAGATTTCTTGGTATAATAACTGTGATTAGATCACGAAGAAAAGTTACCTGATTACATTTTCAACAAATTAAAAATAAAACTAGGATAAAGTAAATAATTAATTAATTATTGGCCCGCTCCTATAAAAATTGAAACTGACTATTAATGATAATAGCAAGCTTTGTGTGATAGCATATCAACTGGCATATCAAACAAGAGCCTGCTGGAAATCAATGCAGCCACTTTAAAAAAAAAAAGAAAAGAAAAAGAAAACCGATAAACCAATATGATCTCAATTGATTGCATTTCAGCATATGGAGTTATCAGTCAACTTACAGTAATCCAGTTCACTTCCGAAGCCATTTCTTCTACAAATAATTTAGAGTAGTTTTCTTGTATAAACTAAAGGTAAAGTTGTCTTGTGTCAATCCCAACCAATAGTCTATAGCATAGGATAGGAGGAACATGCAGGGCGCACCACTATATTGAAAGTGCTGGCTCAGCACATCCACTTCAATTCTATAATTTTGAAGGAAAAATTAAATTGGGTAAGATTCAGGAATCATTGCTTGTATTTGAGCCATCCATCAACCCCTTTTGTTATTGCCGCACATGGAGAAAGCTGCAGACAACCGGCAGGTTAAAGGTTCCATCTAATCCCATGCCAACCCATATGCACGTATTATATTGGCATGTATCACCTCTTCAGCAGAATGTTCAAACATCCTAGCATTTATTACAGTAAGAGGGTTGAGGGGATGCCTCAATATCTATTATATTGAAGCTATCATCACAATTTTTGATAGATAATTTTCTCATTTTCTTATTGAAGTGGCCATTTTCTTCATCTAAGCTGAGAGAGGTCAAGTGATCTTTCCATTTTCATTTAATTTGTTATATAGAAACCACAGAAAACCAAACTGGATAACATTTAGAGTACGATATGTTGACCGAGCATAAAATTATGGGGTGATTGCCAATATGCCCGATTTTCTTTTCAAAACCAAAATATATAGCCGCCATAACAGAAAAAAAATAAATAAATGTTTTTTTTTGCTGATGTAGCAGTCGCTTTTATTTTTGAAAACAAAATCATAAATATTGGCGAACACCCACTATCTTCTGTGTTCAAAAAAGAGAGTATTCCCTAATGTGAATTGTGAATCCAAGCCCAACATCTTCAGCTTGGCCTAGCATTCAATTTGCACATTTTGCCTGAGGTCGCCACAGCATCTCTCTTTTGTCACCGACAATAACGGTTAGTACCCGATTCCCAATTTTGCATCGTATGTGCACGTGCACTTGTATCATGATGACCATACATCCTCTCTGGCAAGTAAGGACACAACTGTACTTTCCATTTATCCAATCTGTACTCGGAGCAAACAGCTTCCGGCTCCGTTAGCTTGATTATCTATTTCCATGTGACAATAATTTACCCCAATGAAATTCATCATTCCAAGTTTGATAATATCTCAACACAGAATTGAGCTCTTAACGAAGGGTAGCTTTCTCAAATTACACTCAACATCATCAACGTTCTTCAGGTCATGGTTTTCGTGCCATTTACTTCCATCTCACTTAGAAATGGAAAACTAAATAATCTTACGACTGTGCACATACTCAGCTCACGCTTACGAGATACGGCATTGCTATGCACGTACTCTTACTTGGAGCATAAAGCCTTCTTTCTCCAGCGCGACTCAATCTATATGTTTGGCCTTTGCAGTATTTCTGATTTATCTACATGAAATGTAATTCTAAAACGGTTCTCTCTCTCTCTCTAGATCATGAAAAGTTGGATCTCTCATCTAAGTATCCTAGGAGGAAAGCAAGCTCAAGACCTTGACGCTCAGAGCTTCTCCAAGTCTGTAATGGAAATCTATGGTACTACGAATTGGTAAAAGGCATATCAGGAAGAAAAAGAAACTTTAATACAAAAGGAGATGTGTACTATTAAATACATACGTACTCTATTCTCGAATTCTTATTGAAGACTCAGCGTTAATCTTCTAACATATCCTAAAGCCAAATAAATTCATTTTTGAAGAGTGTGCTATTATTTTTCACGGAGGAACCTAACACTGCGACCTGTACATCTCTAGAATCAAGACTATCGATTATCGACACCTTTCAAACCCCAAAAAAAAAAAAAAATCAAGACTATCGAACACCTTAAGCATGCCTTCAATTCAAACCAAGCAAACAGTTGTACATCAATTCCGTATCCTACAGGTGGAAGCTTCAAACACTTCAAGAGTATTATCAATAGGGATGAAATCACAAGCAGATAAGTAGATGAACGATCAAAGAGCAAGCTATGAACACAGAGTGAAGGGAAATAAGGTCGTATCAAAGTTGAAGAAAGTGTAGCCTATGTCAGCTCATGCAATGTGCGTTAATCGATTTCATAGTAAGCCTTGAAGTCGTTCTAAACTTTTAGCAATTAGTACACAGTCATACAACACTCAGTTTGTCATATTTCATGAACGACAATATCGTATTTTAGGGGAAGCAAAGAGAAAATGTAATAGAACTATATTAAACAACATAACTCCAGATAAAGATTCTAAGCTACAAATTAAAGCTACGATTACTGAGAATATAAGCTCCAGCTACTCAGATTTTTTTATAGGTAATACATACAGAAGTACTAAAATAGAGAAATAGAGTGAGAATATAAGAAAGGAATTTTGTCCAACCTGGTACTTGCAAAATCATAGAGCTTCCCGGTGCTGGAGAAGATAATCAAACCTACTTCTGCGTCGCACAGGATCGCCAACTCCCTCGCCTTCTTCAGTAATCCGTTTCTTCGTTTTGAGAAAGTGACTTGCCTGCTGGTCGAATTGTCGATCCTTCGGATCACGATCTTGCCTCTCCCCATTCTTACTGTTTCAGATGTCAGGGTTTCTCCTCTGGCTTCTCTTCTAAATTTGCGGAAGACAGAAAGAAAGTGAGATAGAGAAGAGAACTAGAGCTCAAAGTTTTGAGATCTGAGGTATGTTAAAAAAGAAGAAAAAAACAAAGAAATCGAACCATATGAACGAAGAATGGAGGAATATTTGAATCTACGAAGATCAGAAGTGAGAGATCGGAAGAAGAAAAAGAGAAGATTTGAAGAAAACCTTTAGTTAGTGAGCTTCTGACGGCGGACACCACAAGCGACTTTACACGAGAGGAGAACTGAAATGGATGTGAGATGTCTGTAATGTACTGCTATATAAGGGGACGCTGCAATCAAAAAGCGGTTTTAGAAAATTGAAACCACTTTTCTAGGAAAAATCAGATGGTTTTGTGCTCTGAAACAACTAGTGGTTTTTACTGTTCAAACCTCAAAAGGAAGGCAACAAAAGTGCACTTGGTTCGAGGCCGAATCAGGGGCTGCGGGAATTTTATATTTCTGTACTTTTTTTTATGCGCCGTCTACATTTGCGATCACCGACACGTGTGAAAAAGTCACCTTCGCCGTACCGCTTGTTTCGGGATAAAGTTATCCTTAAATCTTTGCAAAATGGCGATCGTGTCCCTAACGGCTGTACCTCAAACATTTTTCTTCTATTGTACATTATCTACCGGGAATTAATTGTTAAATGTTTCACCTATTTATTAATTGGGCACGCAATCGCTGGTCATTCAGACTATTAGGCTGTGTTAAAAAAAAAGGAAAAAAGAATATTAGGCTGTGTTTGGTTTGCCATAAATTAAGAAAAATTCGTACGATCTTGTTTGGAAGGAATGCAAATACAATATAGGATTTACAAGTATACAAATATAAGGTTTTGCATTAAACATATTTGTATTTATACTTGGTAGCATTGGAATTTGAGATTTGAACCCGTCTTCACTACAGTCAATTATTGGCTTTAACTTATCAAATGAGGCACTATCAATTCGTAAATTCTTAAAAAACTTCCCCTTAGCTTTCTTTTTCTCTTTAATTTTCTATCAAACCATTATTAAATTCACACATAAAATAATTTTAAGACAAAAAAAAATCAATTCAATTTAATTAAATGTTAAAGCTAATAAATACATCGACTATCTCTTATTCAATTTAAAAAAAATATTGAATCACCATGCAACTCTTTCTACAAATAGTTGGCATGGTGAATGGATCACAATATGAGAAACTTTTACATGCCATTGTAGATCAATGATGCCATTTTGGCAAATAAATGATCATGAATTTTCATATTTTTTGATAATTCCATAATAAAATCCAATCTACCAATCATAAAAGTGGTCACCAATCGGTTAGTATCAAATTCATAAAGGGTTGTGATTGGTTCAAAATTTTCTGATATAATACCTTTTATGCTGATTAGATCTTATATCTTATAAAACTGGGGATATGGTGGTAATTCATACAAAAGAGTGAGGGTAGGATCGGCAGTGAATATGAGGGGAAGGGCAGCCTTGGCTTGGCTTTTCGTGTGTTCCCAGGTTTTCGGGTTCGTTAACTCGCTGAGAGACCGAAGGCACGGGTTCGCGGGGGCGAGTACACGTCAAAACAATAAGGAATGTGCCACTTGTCATTAGAAAACGAGGTTTAATAAAACAGTGAGAGAGAGAGAGAGAATAGTGACACCAAAGAAAAGGAAGAGAACCACCGATCCCGTTTCTATTTCTAACAGCTGAGAGACCAACCTCAACCTTTGAGGTTTTCCAAATAAGGCAAGAGTCGATCCTGCATGCAAATCCGAACGCAAAAGGTCATCCCCGTTTTTTTCTCGCTTCTAACAAGTTGCTCGAAACTGCCAACCCTCATCAACCCATGTAAAAATTCCTGTATTGACTTCCTCTCCGGTTCCTCCCCTCTCAAGTATTTCTACTCTTAGATGAGATTCTTATTAAATATCATCATCCACTCTTCTTGGAGCTGACAATTCGGCATCAAAAATAGAAAGAAAATTTCTAGCTATAAGATATATACAAGTGGGCTTTGTTTATTTTTCCAAATTTCTCTTTCTTGTGCCTTTAATTCTTTCTGCTTCTTTTTATATTATCATCAACAAACATTTGGTGCAATCGGTGTCATCATACTTTTGAACAATAATAGGATTCCATAAACTAGATTTTTTCCACCATAATAAGAATATGCAGTTGTCCATATATAATATTTTTAATTACCACGAAAGAAATTGACAAATTGTCTACCTGGTCGCTCACTGTTTTTTTTCTTTTTCGACCCACATATTTATTTTTTATATTTATCAAACTCGAAAAATAGTCCTAGTAATTTTAAATTCAGATCTGTGATCACCTTATTGATCTTTGTATCAGAATAAGGAGCCATTTGATAACGGATGAAGTGGCTGAGTTGAATGACTAATTGCTTTATCTTTTAATTGTTAAAATAATTAAATAATGAATTTCTTAAGGGTATGGTGATCTATCCAACTTCAGTTTTAGCTGTTAAAGAAACATAACTCTCTTAAAAACTCAATTATTAAAAGACAAAACAATAAATTTTTCAGTTCAACATTTTCAGCTATTATCAAACGAACCTTTAGTTGAGTTGAATCGCTCAGTATTGAGTCAAACCAGTTATAAAGGACCGGAAAGCTAGCTGACTCGCATAAACTTCTGCCGAATTGAGCTGTTCATGTTCAAGACAAATTGAAAAATTAGAAACCAAGGGTTAATCCATAAACCATGGTTAACTTTGATGATGATTTTATTTAACTATTCCTTTTTTAGTTCCTTTGATCATGAAAAGAATAAAGTTTTGAAAAGGGGGCCAACAAGACTTTGGAAGCATTACCTCAAATATCCATTCCACCAAGCCAAATAATATAATATCCAAAAAGAGAGGCCCAAATAATCTATACTTAATTTGGTAGATTTCCATTATCAAGGAACTCTCTTTTGAAAGCATACAGATGCAACTACATAAAAGTTACATGCTAAGAGTAAAGTAATCTCTCTTTTGGACATTGTTTGCACAACTAGTTAGACAAGAGTCACAAAATTGTATCCTCTTTGGATTTCCCTGGCAATATTGTAAAATCCAACCATGCTCCTTGATACCTTTTGCCCAAGATCGAACTGAACCGGGGCCCACCACCTGCTGGAGTCATCCTGAGACCCATAACTTATGCCGTGGAAGGTGGGTACAATTTGAGTTGGACTTCAGATACATTATATTATTTATATAATAGGGTTCTATATTTTATCTTATTACCATATGAATCGGTAAGAGGAAGAGGGCTGGATGGATTAAAATTAAGTCTATGAATCCATTTGATCATTATCATTTTTAACTGTGTGTTTTTTGGGACTGATTTTTAAGAAAAAACGCTTTCAAGACCTGTTTTTTATTAAAAAAAAATGTATTGATTTTGTTTGGAAGTATTTCTGTCACGTAGGTAGACAGTGAACAATATTATGCTGTTTGGTAAGGTGATTTTCATCTCTGTTTTTTATGTATGTGCTGACAGGTAAGCATCGCATAGGATACATGTAATCGCCAATCAGTCAACCATTGGGGGCAACGGTTCAATGATGCATGAAATGCCAAATTTAACGTTTTATGCATCGATGGGGTCCCAATTTACGAGGCATGCCCATTGTTCAAGCATTTTTTCAAAAAACGAGTGAACCGAACAGTCATATATGTGGGTGTTTGTTGAAACGCCTATGTGGATCCAACGTGGCACCATTTTTCAGAAAAATGGCCATGGTTCCAAACATCCCCTTATTTGCAATTCTAGATTTATAAAATTTGAAAATGATTTTCATAACTCGTAAAAGATCAAATCTTATCATTTTTTTAATAGAAATTCATAAAATAAAGCATTAACAAATTAAGCCGTAAAGAAGGGTGGGTTTAAGAATTTCAATGTCATATTTATTTTGAGGGTAACTTAAATTGTAAAACAAACTTGCGAGGAAAATCATTTAATTAATACATCAGATAAATAAGATGCTTTTATTGTTACTATGTGTTTTTACAAATAACAATAACATGGCTTAGGTGTGGTACACTCATAGACAAGCAATCAAAACTAAAATGGGTATTCCACTCAAAGCAGGAAATAATTTTGCCCCATTTTAAAGACAAGTTATGAAATTCCTGTGTTGGTTATTAAACTTCAAGAACTGAAGGGCTTGATGACTTTCTAGGTCAACAAATGCTATCTAATAAGCTCTACAAAGAAGATTCAATTCAAACCAGTAAAATATTGACAAGTTGTCCACTTCAAATGCCTAATTAATCAATAAAACATTGAAGAAAATAACCCCTTGCACACTTAAGGTAGGAACAGTTCATGGGTCATACATATCTCTCTCTCTCACCCCCTTGTTAAACACAGATTATTCTTTTGATTCTCTTGGGTACAAGTCTGAAAAGCCCTTTCATGAATTTGGGAGATTTGGTCTTTTATGTCAAAGATTTTCTGCATTTCTAACCTAGGACCTGGAATAACTAAAACAAAGTACACCCACTTAACAAAGCTATACTATTAACTTATTATCAAATTAGGTTTAGGTAATTCAATGGATTATATATTATATTATAGTATTCTATCCATGATAAGAAATTAATTATTTATATGGCCCAACAACCCTATATTGACTAAATTATAAAATAGTGCAATAGTTAGTAGACGATTATTACAAGAACAATTAAGGTGATGAACTTGAGCAATTATTTAGTGAATCTGTCACGAAATTACTATTCAAATAAAGTAATAAAAGCATTAACTATTAATTTTAATTAGGGCTTTACTTCCTAAACGACGTAACTTATAATTTGATGAAGGAATCGCCCACAGTAGGTCAAACGTCAATTAGAGTTGAAACTGGAACACCACCAGTTCCACTCGCCAGACGTTTCTCACATAGATTGTTATTTATCCTTCCATTTTAAGTAAACCCAAGAAGATGGAAACGGGAATCATCAACCTTGGATAGATGAGTTGTTATTGTTTTGTGTGTAAGCATTTGTACTTTTCTGATTCAGCATGGGAAATGATAAAGTACGACTGACCATAAACAATTTATTGTTTTAAGTTGTTAAAATAATTATTAAATAATAAAATTTTCAAGAGAGTAGTGCTCTACCCAATTTCACTTCCAGCCATTGAGAAGCACACAACTTAATATCATATTCACTAAAGGATAAAAGAAGTAAGTTTTTTAGTTCAGTATCTTCAGTTGTTACCATATGGCTTAAGTATCAATCATTCAATTCCAAAATATGTGGCCATTTGGGAGGACTTTCAAAATGCCATTTTTGACTTTCTAAGTTGGGCTTCATACAAAAATTGAAGAAGTTGTGTTTAGTGAAAATCAAAAAAGTCAATATTGGCATTTTAGAGG